TGCAATAAAGAATTAGTAAGTTTATGGTTCCATTGCTTACTATCCTATTTAAGTCCATAAATGGACTTGTTAAGCTTGCAGGCCATGTTTTTGGCAATTTTCAAACCTGGAGAACATTTCATGTATAACTCCTCTTCGAGTTCACCATGTAAGAAAGCGGTATTAATGTCAAGTTGATGGACATGCCGGTTAATGGAGGAAGCAATATATAATAATAACCTAATTATGGTCATCTTAATGGCGGGACTAAATGTTTCAAGATAGTCTAAGTCTTGAGTATGGTTATATCCCTTAGCAACAAGACGAGCTTTGTATCTATCAATGGTGCCATTAGGATTATACTTGTGCTTGAAGATCCATTTACAATCTATGGCCTTTTTACTATGAGGAGGGGTAGTGATAACCCGAGTGTTAGTGTCTTTAAGGGAGTTAAGTTCATTTTGAATGGCATGTTGCCAATTAGGATCAAGCATAGCAATGGCATAAGAGGTGGGTTCAGTGACAGTGGATATATTTAAGTTAAAAATCATGTGAGATAAAGATAAGTTATTGTAATTGAGATCATTAGAGGGGGTAATGAGTGTTACCTGATTGATTGAGAGGCTTGGAGATGGGTGTACCTGATAGAAGTGCACAGTGGTAGTCTTTAAGGTATGTTAGAGGCTTGGAAATCCTGGAAGACTGTATTGTGCCAGTGTTTGCAGGAGGTAAAAGGGATTAAGAAGGATGAGGGCTGGAAGTAGGTTGCATGGAAGGATGGGTTTGCATAGGGGTTTCAGCAGGTGAAATGGGGATGTTTTGTGGTGAAACAATTGGAGTGGGAGATGCAAGGGTTGTGCAGGGTATGATATAGTCAGTTTTATCATCTATAGTATGATGGTACATGGGTTAAGGTTATGGGGAGACATGCTTGTTAGGCGTGGCAAAAGGGAAGATATGATCAAAGTGGACAACATCCTGAGATAGGAATACATTGTTGGTAATAATATCATAGAGAATGCAACCTTTTACACCATTTTTAAAGCCAAGAAAAACACATTTACTAGGTCTAGAATCCAGTTTAGTTCTGGACACAAGTTTAGTGAAAGCATAAGCAAGAGAACCAAAAATTCTAATGTGCATATAATCAGGATATTTATTGTAAAGAAGTTGATTAGGATAGTCATAATGTAGCAGTTTAGAATAAAGTCTGTTCATGAGATGAAAAACATAATTTAGAGCATAAGACCAAAAAGTTTTAGGTGTTTGAGATTGAAAAAGAATTGCACGAGTAACCCCAAGGAGATGTTGATGTTTTCTTTCAATAATCTCATTTTGTTGGGGTGTGTAAACACAAGATGTCTGATGATGGATACCTTGAGAGTCATAAAAGGTTTTCAACAAGAACTCTGGTCCATTATCAGATCTAATAGTCTTAATGGTGCAATTAAATTAAGTTTGAATTAATTTATCAAAAGATTGAATTAAAGTAGATGTTTCAGACTTGTTTTTCATGAGAAATATCCAACAAAACCTGTTATAATCATCTATAGTTGTAAAAAAATACCTATGGCCAAGAAGAGAAATAATGGAGATAGGTCCTCCAATATCCATGTGTATAAGATCAAAACATTTATTACTTTTGGTGCAACTGTCGGGGAAGGGGATTCATTTTTGTTTAGCATGAAAGCAAGCATCACAAGGAAAATGTGATTGAGATAATTGAGGCAAAGTGTGGATTTTATTAATATATCTTAGAGTATCATAAGATGGGTGGCCAAGTCTATTGTGCCAAAGAGAAAAACTGTGTAAAACATTGATATGTGGAGGGGGAACATTGTCATGGGATTGAAAATATGGTGCAGTGGGTAAAAGCAGAGAATAAAGGCCTTGATGCATCCTAGATGCACCAATCTTCATCAGGGTATGGGTCCCGTGTATGATGCATTCAGTGGAGGTAAATTGGAGAGTACAGTTTAATGATTTACATAATTTAGAAACGGATATGATGTTAGAAAGGTAGGTACATAAAGGACATCATGTATATGCAACATATCAAAAAAATGAACAGAACCATATTTATTTATAGTAATTATGGCTCCATTACGGAGTTTGATATTAATTGGGAGATATGGTTTTAAAAGTCTTGAACATGGGTTTGGAGTGACACACGTGATCTGTGGCACCCGTGTCCAACAACCAATTAGAAAATCGATGCTAGCATTAGTAAGGATGGTAGGGAACATACCAGAATGTGAAGTTTGTAGATGTTGGATTGTGTTGGTGTTAGAGGAATCATTTTGTTAAAACAGAGCAAGCAGGGAACATTGTTGGTCAACAATTATCACTGATTGAGTGGAACATTGATTTGTGTCATCTTGTCTATCGAGGGTTGATTCATCTGAGGAAACTTGGGCTATCTGTGGTTTCTTCGGGTGTGGGGGAAGCTCATGCTTTTTGAAGCAGACCTCAATGGTGTGACCTGGTTTGTTGCAATAGGAACAAATCTTGATGCCTTTAGATTTGTGGTAGGATGGATTCTTGGAGGGTGTTTCAGGTGAATGTCCTTTCTGATAGGGTTTGTAGATGTAGACAAGAATCTTGTCGTCTATAATGGGTTAAACTGTCTGTCTTTCTTGCTGAATGAGAAGGAAGAAGACTTTGTTTACAGAAGGTAACGGTGCCATGAGCATGATTTGAGCACGAACTAGAGCATAGAAATCATTGAGACCTTTGAGGAAGCGGATAACTTAATCATTATCACGATAAGTCTTGATGGTTGAAGATAAGGAACGGTGACACACATGTTCATAGATGCAGTTGGAAATATGATGGAAATTATTGAATTCTTTCCATAGTTTCTTAAGGGTGGTGAAGTATTGGGTGATGGTTTGGCCACCTTATTTCTGCGCTTATATTTCTTCTTGGAGATCGAAGATGCGGAAGATGTCACCTTGGTGGTAGCATTCGTGTAACTCACCCCAAATTTCTTTGGCGGAATCCATCCAAAGAACACTTTCGGAGATTTCTTTGTCGATCAAATTTGTGAGCCATGCCATCACCATGTTGTTGCAGCGGTCCCATGCAAGATACTTTGAGTCAAAAGGAATTGGTCGTGTGAGGGTGCCATCAATAAATCCTAACTTGTTCTTGGATCGAATAACAAGTTTAATGGCGTGTGACCAAGAATAGAAGTTGTTGTTGTTGAGTGGAGGAGAAACTAGAGAGAGAGAGAGGAAGACGGGGTTGTCACTGGGATGCATAAAGAAAGGATCGAGCATGTCAGTTTGGAATGTACGAGTAAGAACTTCATTTGTGTGCATTAGATTTTCGTGAGGTGAATTTTTCGGTGTTTCTTCATCGGAAGCCATGGAAGGTTGAGGAAGGAGAAAAGAATGGTAGAAAAAAATGTGAAGATGACGAAGGAGAGAAAGACAAGATATAGCCAAAAACGGAAAAGAAACGGAAAGGAAGTAGTGCCAAGAAAGAAACAAAAAAGGAAAGGATAAGGTGATAATGGAGGCACGTGAAGAAACCATAGTGGAAAAAGATCAGAGGAATCCCATTCTACTGATACCATGTTAACACTTGCCAGCGGCGGGTGCATGGATGAAGACCAAAATTGAATGAAAAATTATTATTATTATTTTCATTGATTGTAAATGTTACAAACAATATATAGTTGTCCATACAATGAATGGGCTTAACCCGTAAAAGAACAAAAAGAGCAACTGGGCTAGAAAACTAATGGATCTAAGAAAGAGATAATTATATTTGAGAATTTCTTTTTCTATCTTATAAGAAAAAGAAAAACCCTGCACAATTCTTAAAATACTCCCTTAAAAACTAGAAATATATTTTTGATGCGCACCATTCACCACACACAAACAGATCAAATGCGATTCCATTATATTCAAAAGGCAAAAATAGAACCAGAGTTATATTTTCGGTTGCAACCGGTATTGTATTTCCGATTTCAATCTACATTTTATCAAATATTTGTGCGTTCTAGAAATGTATTTCCGGTTTAAAGTCATTTTTATAACTTTGCGTGATGCGCTAGAAAAAAAAAAAGAAATCCTGTTATATTTTTAACAATATCCTCCATAACATGTGTTTCACAATTCAGGAAATTAATGGCAATGCAGACTTGATTTCAAAATTGATTTCTTTATTATTTATTTAAATGTATGAACTTACGTAGTCGAACATATTTCATGCAAAAAGCCATCTAAGCAAGCATCGATTTAACACATTTCATCATATGTTTTCTGTTTGCATCAGTTGTAGAATGTGAATATTATATTCTTTTTTTGTACATTTTTCGTCGTTGGAATTTCATGATTATTTAAGATTAGCTTCCATCTTATATTTTCGTATTACATGATTATTATCAGTGACGTGTTATACGAATCTTGACAATGCAAATCAAATTTTGATTTGGGTTTTACTTGTGATATGCATTTTATGCATGAATAATTGGAACCAAATTGTTTGATCAAAATTAGATGGTCCTTATTTAAAGTAGATTCAATTATTGGTTACTTATAGTATTATCACACAACATACAACTTTTTTAATGCAAATATTGGTTGCATCATGATGCAAACAATCGTGTTAATATGTTCAACGTGTGGTGGAACTGCAGCTTGCTTGTTTTTTTGAGAAATTGTACATGAACTTGGTATGAGAAGTTACACCGATTTTGCTACAAGTTATATTAAAGTCAAAAACAAATTTATAGCAAAAATTAAAAGTTGTCAATAAACAAGATCCAGTAGCGACTAAATTATTTATACAGTGACAAGCACACGTTTAAGTGACAGATAATATATATATATGATTTGTACATTACAGTATATAGCTTCAAAATGAAGAGTTTATGTGATTTGACCAAATGCTTGTTAAATCAAACAACACAGTAAAGTCGGCCAAACTGATATTTTCAGTCACTTATTTGATATTTTTAAAAAAAGGTTCATAGAGAAGACCTTGTAACTTGTAGGCAATATGAGAACTCTTCACAGCCCATTATTAAGAAGTGGAGAGTTGGTGTTATGGTTGGTTCTCCGCCATATCTACACTTGATGATTTATTACCCTAAAGACAGAAACAGTAACACTATCAATTGTCACAGAAAAAAAGTTTACAACCCGTATAACAAAACAAACGAACAATAACAGAATAGAAAAGATTCAAAACTGATTAAAATATAAATGCCTGTCTTTCATTCTTGAATGATTTCTACTCAAGTAAATTGCAGACAACAGTTCCTAATTATATAATATGCTATCTCATTCTGAAATATCACAAAAAATGGAAATCTACACATGAAAGCAAATGGCTCCTAAAAATTTAGTAATAGAAAGTCAAAGGAGTGTTACCTTTGCAAAAAAGTTTACAACCCGTATAACAAAACAAACAAACAATAACTGAATAGAAAAGATTCAAAACTGACTAAAATATACATGTCGGGAATGTTACCTTTTCCTGAAGATTGGACGATGCAGCAGTGGCAGGCTCAGCAGCAGAAGCAGGAGCAGCATCAGAAGCAGACTTGGCAGCCGAAGCAGGTGTGACAGAGGAGGAACACACAGAGAATCGCAAACGATAATTGATAATCTTTGCACCCTTTAAAGATTCTTCAACCTGTTTAGTAACAACAAATCACAAACCCTTCTTATGGTTCTCTCATTTAAAATCATTTTAGCTCAGATTCTCAACAAAAATTACCACACTTGGCTTACTTAGGGTTTTAAAATAACTACCTGCTTCAGATTAAAAGAACTCGGGTAATTTGTTGTGATGTTAACTACAGCCAACGGCGAGTTTTGTCGCAAGAAGTCAACTATTCCATCAGGTATGGCAGGTGGTTCCGAACGTGCTTTAAATGCCTTTCTTAAGTTAACAACTTCTTTACTTGACTTGGCAGCAGCTTTCTTTAACATTTCTTCTTTCATTAATAGTCTTAAAAGTCCATCATCAAGTGGTATCAGTTCTACTTCCAATGACTTCAAGTTACACAAAGAAGGGAGCTTAACCTTCAATAGATCAGGAATTAAGGAGAGAATCTAAGAAATGAAGGCGATTTAAGATCAGTTAGTTTTATGCAAGTCAATTGAATTTTAACAAATTTAAAAGATATAAAATATCATCTTAGAAGAAAGTAAAAATAAAGGCTGAAAACATGATAAGGTACCTGAAGAATAGTAGAAGTGACTGTCAATGATTCTACATTGGAAAGGTCTAGCAACCAGCTGAATAGAATCAAAGCATCCCCCGACCAAGCTAAAATATTTTGTGAATCAATATTTACTTGTTTAACAGAAGAAAGTCCACCCCCGCATATTTTCGGAATAATGTCACCGGTAAATCTAAAGGTACACAGATTTGGAGTAGAAAGTTTGATTTGGATAATGGCATACGAATTACTATGCAAAGCTAAATTCACAAGTGTCTCATTTGAAATGCTGAAAAATTCTGCATTCCCTCCTATCCTACAACCACGAATGACCAAACTATTCAACTTGGTAAAGGCCAAAAAGGGCTCGTGACAGTTTTCCCCACCACAAAAGCCGAAATTTGTTAGATCTAAGCTAGTCAATGAAGGCAAATTCAAAGATTTTGGAAATAATGTTTCCGTATAAACACTATTATTAACTCTAGGGTAAGCTTTAAGCTTAAGAGATGTAAGAGCTTGACAAAAAGAAACACAGCTGGAAATTAAAGAAATATCACCACGAAGAGAGATTCCTAATTCCCGGAGGTGAGTATTATGGGAGCAAACATAGTTTACAATCATTTTAAGGAGTTGAGGCTCAAAAATACCACGATGTTCAAGATCAAGGTCGAAAGCGTGAAGTTCAGTCGAGCTATCACGAAGAGTAAAAATGTTGGACACAAATGTGTCAAATTTCTTTAAAGTGTTAAATCTTGAAGAATGCAAGATAAGTGTTGGAATAGATTTCCAGAGATGTTTCCATCGGGTGGATAAAATGCAAGTTTGAACAACATGTTTAGTGTTCAAGAATGATAAAATGTGAATGATAATACAGTCGGGTAAGTCACTCAGCCTGTCTTCATTTTCATGCGTTTCTTCAATTTCATTCTCACTATGCCTTGTTTTCTTCATCTTTTCTTGAATCCTGGTTTCTTCAAGATAATCTAAACAAGAAACAAATGAACAATTATAAAGCAAGATCTCTACCAAAAATAAAATGATAAAGCGAAATTTGAAGCCAAAGTAAAGTTGTGTTGAATTTCAAAGGGAAACAATTGGGGAAAACCTAGAAAGTATATTGAAATCTAAAGCAGGATAGTAGTTTAGGTGAAAAAATAGATTGAAATTCAGTCGGAGAAAGTAAAGAAAATACCTCGCCGCCGTCGAGTTGTGACTTCTCCGATGGTTTTGAACGCCGGAAAATCTGATTGAAACGTGTAGATTCAAGCTTTCTAGGGTTCTTTATTTTAATTTTGTGCGAAGGAATAAAAAATTTGACGTTGGATGAAAAACTGGTGCCAAGTGCTATTTCATGGTGGTGCGAACTGAGAACTGCTTTTTTCTGTTAAAACTTAATGTTGGTGGGGACTGCTTTCCCTTAACTTCGGGTAGACTTATGGGTGACTTAGGGGATGTCTTTGTTTCAAATTATTAAATTATATTATTTAAAATTATATTTTTTGTATTCATATTTTTAGAATAATATTTTAATTTATATATTTGGATAAAAATAATTTTTTTTAAGAATTTTTACAAATTTATTTAATTTAAAAATTATAAAAAATAAAAATAGTAATAATTTGTGAATAGAAATGAGAAGTTAGAGGTAGTTGAATTTATTTTCATAGGAATATTGGAATTCACATCCTTTAATTATGTGAATAAAAATAGAAAAACCATATTTAAATAAGATTTCTGAAAATAAAATATGACTTACAATAATTTTTTAAAATTTAAATCAAATATAAGAAAGTTGCATTCCCATGACTATATTTCTTGAAATATTTTTACAACCTTAAAACAAACACATTCTTATAATTAATTTGTTTTAAATTAGTTTAGTTTTTTCCACTAATTTTTATCTTTTAATACATCTTAATAATTTTTTTATTTTATTTATTTTATCGTTTTACTTAAAAAAAAACTATTAGGTCATTCAATTTAAGAGTGTCCCATCACATTATCACCTTTAATTTTTTGTTTTTGAATATCAACATTTTTCAAAAAAAAAAAAACTTAAATAACCACAATTTCAAAATAATTTTTAAAGTAATCACTTTTTTTTTTAAAATCGTAGCATAAAGGATGTGACATTATTTCTAGTGCATGCACTCTAAATTAATAGAATGTGCTACACTGCATGATGCATGTCATGTCATAGAATATGATTGCATTATAGTATTAGGTGGATGCGTGACACACAATAGAATAGATTTTGCTTTTTTAATTTATTTATAAAAAAATAGTAAATATAAATATTAAATAAAAAAGATTAATTTATAATAATATTAAAAAAATTATACAATAATTGAAGATATTTTTACTGACCCCTTCGACCCAAATATTTACCAATTTCACAGTTCGGCCCCCTTATTTCCCTTTGAGGTCTCACTTGATTTCCCTGAAGTCTTTGGGGTCATCTAATATTCGCCTAAGGTAGAGGTCCTTGGTGCGATGGTCTTGAGATAATAGTTGAATCTTAATACAATTCAACGAACATTTCTCCCTAATTTATGCGCTACTAGAGAGTTCGATGTCCATGCTTGGTGTTGTGGTAAGATGTGGTGGCAGCATATGGTTGGTGACGGTATGGCTCATGCTATTGGTTTTGTGTTTGGGTGTGTGGAATGAATTGGTCACGAGTTTGAGTGGATGTGGTTTCGTAAGGTTATTGTGTTTGGGTGGGTGACAATGTTGTTGGGCTTGGTAATGTTGTGTGGTTGGTTGTTGGGTGTATGATGACGAAGTTCGTTGGCGTGGCTCGATCAAATATGTCGGGGGAGACTGGAACATATTTGGAGAAACAGATGTATACCAAGTCATATAATTTCAAGTTGGTCTAACATCATCATGCATGATTGGTTATTTTATGACAAGTTCGCGTTGGTGCCTCCATTGACGACATGCATCCCTAGCAAAGTCTTTAAAATTAGTAAATTTCCATTGATCATCGACTCTTAATTGATGTCATTCTCTTAAGCATGTCGGGGGATCTGTGATTTGTTGTTGCATGCCAAACTGCAGTTATATATGGTCACTCTGGTGCACCTACCTAGTTGTGAACTTGTTGATTATTGTTTTTTACAGTCCAAACTACAGCATTATCAAGGTTAGTCTCATGGTCTAGACCCAGATACGACCTCCAGACAAACTGTATAGGAAAAATACATTAATCTCATGGTAATATTAAACTAAATTAATGAGATATTTAGTTGTAATATCTCGTTGAGTCCAATATGATCTATAAGATTTTGATAGACTACTGTTGTACCCCAATTTTTGCCCCTAAGATTCCTCTATCATCTCATACCATCACAGTGCAACAAGATCACACATTAGGGTTTTGAGTGCTTCTACTACTTCATTCTATCTTTAGGTTTGTCCATGAGGGGTCATCAAGCACCTTAATTGTGTATCTTGTACATATATCCTTTTGACTAACATCAAAATATGTGTATATGTCTCTTTGAATGTCATCTTGTAGGTAATGGCACAATTGCATGTATCTTACCATCTCCTAGCACAGAGGATCAAAACTAGGGTTTAGAATTTAATCAGGAAATCTCTGACTTTTTGGGCAATACTTGATTCCATATTTCTCTACATGTTCATGAGCATCTATGATTAGAAATTTGATCATCAATCTTGATTTAAAAAGGTTCAATTGATCAAAAGGGGTAAAATGGCCTTTTTTTTGTCAGAAGTCAACCAAAGTCAACTGTTGACCAAGTGGACTTTTGGTCAACTATCAATTTAATGTCCTTATTTTCATATTTCATGGTCAATGGTGGCATAAAATCAAGAGGAAGAGTCGAATTCCATTTTCAAGGTGAGTTTTTTTACTTTTGAACTCTTCATACAAGCATTATTTGGCTTCCATTTTAAAAGATAAAATGTAGACATCATAGCCCTGAAACTAACCATGCCCTTAGATTTCATTTATATTGCCTGAGTAGTGTGAATTTGAAGTTTGAACTTTCTGAAATATTTAGGTCAGAATTTGGTACCAATAAAATTCATGTTCATCTTTGAGAGCTAGATTAATTAGTTTACATATTTGAAATCATGGTGAAATTTTTAACAAGTTTGATGTTTACACTTTTGAGAATGGTTGAGAAATGAACAAGATACGAAATTTGAAAATCTTGTCCATGGAGGCTGGCACGAGGAAGAAGAAGATGACATGTTCAGGGCTTGGTTTATTTTAAGTTTATTGCATGTTGTGTTATTCACGGATGAAGCAGCCACCCAAGTGGCAAGAAGCACGCGCGTAAGGCATACCTCTATATGGTCCTGGGTTCGAGCCCCAGTGAGACCTTTTGGTTTTTTTTTTCATATTTTCTTTGTTTCACTTTTTTGTTTGCAGCGCTTGGGCCTCCCTCCCTTGGGCATGATTTATTTTACTCACTAATATCCCCATATTTGCTATAAACACGCAAACCCCCATTTTTTTTTATTTCATTGTTTTTCTAATACAAACAAAAACAATATGGGCCTAAAGTAAAATATATTTTACTTTCTAATCCCTTGATTCATTTTCAGACCCTCTTTAATTTATATTTCTTTTTTTTACTTTTTCTTTATTTTATTTTATTATATTATTATTATCTTTAATCAAAAATACCAAAAAAATATTTTATTAAATAATTAGATCAAAAATCTTCATTTTTACTTTATCTCTATTTTATTTCATAAATAATAAAAACCCTAAAAAACATTCTTCTTTCTTAAAATTAATTAAATTAATTTAGACTTAGTTTTTATTTTAATTTTCTTTGTCTAATTAAATTAACTTAGAATTTAGGAATTTAACTAATTAATTTCTTTTTTTTTAATTAATTAGGTTAAACCTTTTCATACAAAAAATCACAAAAACAATTCTCTTTTCAATTTATTTTCATTTTACATTTCTTTGCATTTTATTACTTCATATTATAATGTAATTGTCAAAGTCTTGTAATAGTTAGGGCTTATTTTTCTTATCATCCCCCATTTGTAATTTGTACCCCCATCCCCCTAAAGTATTGTAATAGCGTAGGACTTTAAATTTCTGCAATTTATCGCTTTCAATATTATTGTTAGTAATTAGGGTTTGTATGGAAAGATATAAAATCAAATAATAGACAACCTTAATTCAAGACAAAAATGCATGAAATCAATACACCTTGCACACTTGCACCCTAGGGTTAACCCACACTTGTTGCCTTAGAATAAAACAGTCATGTCCCTCGAACGTGGGATACTTTAGCAAAGACCCTCGATTACAAGATCGTAGTCCCTCGATGACCCTTCGACGCTGCCTTCGATAAACGATCTTAGACCCTTATGACAAATTGTTAAGGTATCCTACAATGTTGCCTTCTATGAATGTATGACGACCCACGCCTGTCCCTTTACATCCAATTATAAGGTTACTTACCAACTAATGGTGAGGCAACACTATCTAAAGGAGGAGGAAAAGAACAAAGACTTTTTGAGTATGTAGAACGTTCGTAGTTGCTTGCTCACAAATATTTCAAAACAAAACATCTTTCAAACACACCAACACTTTCCATGAAATATTTTCAAAAGTCAACACTTGGTATACATTTTTATAGAGACGAGAATCATTATAAAGTTTGCCTAAACAAAGGCACTTTTTAAAAATACTTTCAAACAAACACATTCATAAAAGAATTTCAAAGTGAGCTAGCAACTAAGAGCCCGTAGATAACTACGGATGCAAAGGGTGATAACACTTTCCCGTTTAATAACCTATCCTCTGAACTCAAGAAAATATCTCAAAAGGTCTTTCTTGTTCTTTTCACTCTTTCCTTTATTGGATAAAAGAAAATTCGGTGGCGACTCTTGCTATCCGCAATAATTGCGATAAAATGCAAAATACTCAAGTCAGTTCTCCCACCGTATTACAGTCACCATCTTCATTAATTCATTATAATTTATCCATCATCATCATCATTTAGAAGTGGGTTCTTATCTAGTTTTAGCTTTGGGGAAATTTTCATGAAATTGAGAATTAGGTTTTGTGTGGTTTGCTTTGATCATGAAATTTGATGTTGAAATATGATATTCTTGTTGTTGTACATACTTGCTTGTGCTAATTCATGATATTGTTATGTGATTTGTGATATATTGTATGCTATCATGTTCTCTATCGTGTGAATGCATTTTTTTCATCTTAAGTGTGTTGTGCTATGATATTGTATACAATGTTATTATGTTATTTTCGCGCCATAAAAAAACACATGAGTGCACCGCACACTTGAAATATAACAGAGTCTCCACCAAAGTTTTTATTTAAAGGGAAACATCAATAAAACCCTTAAAGTGGACAAAACATGGTCATCGCAACCAGTTTAGGGTTTAAGAGTCGATTAAGTGAGGGGAAAGTGTTAGGCTCCCCTCACCTCTGTTGTACTCAACGGGACCTCCTATAGCCTTGGGTTAAATTAAATCAAAAAGAACTAAGTTATATACAAATTAATTATTTTTCCTAACTAGAGAAATTAGATATTTTTGGTATTTTGTATTTTTTGATCTAGTACCTAAATAAAAATGAAGGACTTGTTTTTTGTATTTTGTATATTTTATTTTTTCTGTGGCAGGTGGAGGTGGTGGTGGAGGCACGTCATCAACCTTTACCTCAACATCAAAAACCCTAGCACCAGGAGGCCCCGCAGTATCAGAAGACCCAATAGTAAGTGGTATGAGGCGAGAGTGTGATATAGTGAGATGCCACTTAAGGTGACCATCATCTCACTGCAAATGGTGTTGCACCGCAACTGTGCTATCCCTAATGGCACGAGTAGAGCTGATGATGCTACTCTGAAACCATATGTCAATGCCACCAGCTGGAGCCTCTGGAACTGGATGAGGGATTCCATGATTGTTGCAGACACCTCTCAGGAAAGTGTCTAGCCACGTGGGTCTCCCACCTTATATGCCCTGAATATAAGGAAGCATCATCAAATTGACGATATGCCTGGTGAACTGTATATGGTTTCCAGATGAAATCCTCTATAGTCAGAGCATCAAGCCTCCTCCTGAACTCCACACCACCATCATGAAAAACTTGCATGCCCTTCCATCTCTTCGCCCATGGAGCTTCTGTTGAGACACATAGTTGTCTTCTCTGACATATGTGGAGGGAAATGCTCGTATATCCAGCACTGAATAAATAAAAACTAATTAATATGACATCCAACAAATAACTAATAGACTCAAATAAATAAGTAAAAACAACAAATAAATACTAGTATACTTGTAATAGGCTCAAATAACAAACTATTTGTCTGGTCTCAGGCTGGGAAGCATCTCCAAGTGTCGTGTATAACATGGTCAATGGTGCCACTCTCCAAGCCCAACATGGAGTCTCTAGGTTACTGAACAACCACATGTATCAAACATTAATATAAACACCTGACTTGTTTGCAGATAGAGTACATGCCATTAGATGTAGCATGTACGCCCTAGCGTCAACTGTTAGAACATAGTTTGATTCTACAACCCTTGGTTAGAGTTTTGATGATAACAAATACAAAGAATAAATAAATACAAAGAACAAATATGCTCCTTAAAAATTTGTTTTATGTATGCAGAAGTTCTGATCTGATCAGCATCAGAAGATAAGTCATAAAGTATTACAAGCTGAAGCAATCAGATTATACGTTGAAGATTGATGACCAGAACTTGCGCTTTATTATAGTAAACTCTGATTCTGAACAAAGACATATCAAACCAAGTCATCAATATTCTGAAGCGTCATCAGCAGAAAGGAGAAAAGACTCTGAAGCGTTACTGAACATTCAAGACAAAATTAATGCCAACGGCTTTCTTCAGACAGAATCTTCTCCAAAAGGAAAGTGTGTTAATAACAGTAAACGTGCTTTATGGACAACGTCATTACATTGCCTATATAAACAAGTCAGCTTGTAGAATGAAGCACGAACGTACACACAACAATTTGCTAAGATCACCAACCACGCATATTCAAGCTTAAGCAAATTCAATCTTTATTTTAAGCTACAAACCTGTGTAAATTATCACAGTTGTGATAAACTGTTTTTGTTAGAAAAACAACAACACATTTTGTTTAAATCATATTGTAAAAGAGTTCCTAGAGATTAACCGGATTGTGGTTGTACTCAAGAAGACTTTAACAGTTGTTAAAGTAGATGTTGTAATCTTTTGAGATTAGTGGATTAAGACCTCGTTGGAGAGAGGCGAAATCACCTTGACGGGTGGACTGGAGTAGTTTGAGATCAAACGAACCAGGATAAAAATAATGTGTCATTAAGCTGTTTTAGATCCAAGTTTTCAATTCAACCCCCCCTTCTTGTGTTTTTCACATCTTCAATTGGCATCAGAGCGCCTGGTTCTGAGCTTAAACACTTAACCGTGTCAGTACAATATCCAAGCATCAGAAAAACACTATGGTGGGACCAAGCCAAAACATCATCAATGACAACAATGAAGACAGGGACAGGTTAAGTGGTAAACCTCCAGTCTTTGATGGAGAAAACTTTGACTACTGGAAAGACAGAATTGAGAGTTTCTTTCTGGCCCATGATTCTGATCTGTGGGACATGGTGACTGATGGATATACACATCCTGTGGATGGACGTGGTCAGAAGATATACAGGAAAATGATGTCTGATCAGTAAAAGCGTGAATTCAGAAACCACCACAAGGCCAGAAGAATTCTCCTCAGCGCCATCTTATATTCAGAGCATGAGAAAATATCAAACAGAGAAACTGCCAAGAATATGTTTGACTCTCTGAGAATGACGCATGAAGGCAACATTCAAGTCAAATAAACCAAGGCTCTTGCGCTCATTCAGAAGTATGAGGCATTCAAGATGGAAGACAGTGAATATATAAAAACTATGTTTTCAAGATTTCAAATTCTTGTTGCTGGACTAAAAGTTCTTGACAAAGGATATTCTACTGCTGATCACGTTAAGAAGATCATTAGAAGCTTGCCAAAAAAATGGAGGCCAATGGTCACAACACTTAAGTTAGCCAAAGATCTCAACAAAATCTCTCTGGAGGAACTTGTTAGCTCCCTCAGAAGTCACGAGATAGAGCTAGAAGAAGATGAACCTCAAAAGCAAGGTAAGCCATTAGCTTTAAAATCTAACAGAAAATCTGACTCCAAAGTTTTGCAGGCTGTGGAAGAAACCTCTGATGGATCCTCATCAGAAGAAGATGAACTATCTCTCCTCTCCAGAAGGGTGAACCAACTGTGGAAGCAAAGACAAAGGAAGTTCAGAAATCCCAGAAGATCATAAAATCAGAATGAATCCTCATCCAGATACAGAAGGTCAGAATCCTCATCTAGACACAGAAGATCTGAAGGTTCTTCAGGATACAGAAAGCCAAACAACAAAGACATCATCTGCTATGAATGTAACGAGCAAGGGCACTACAAAAGTGACTACCCAAAGCTTCAGAAGGAAAAGCCCAAAAAGAAGTTTTTCAAGGAAAAGAAGAAAAGTCTCATGGCTACATGGGATGATTCTGACAAATCTGAAGCTGACTCAGAATCAGATGATGAAAGAGCAAACATAGCTCTCATGGCAAACGTATCAGAAGACAGTGAAGCCTCTGGTTCAGACTCAAAATCAGACACTGAAGAGGTATTCCCTGACTTTACCATAAACTTTACTAAGGTTGAACTTACTGAAAGCCTAAATGAAATTTTGGAAAGGTATCAGCAGATCAGAGTCAAATTCAGAAACCTGAAAAGGAATCTTGCTTCTGACTTTGATAAGACTGAGAGTCTCAGATTGGAGAATTCTGAGTTAAGAGAAAAAGTTTCAAAATTAGAAAACCAGTTGCAAAACTCTCAGAAGGAATCAATCTCTAAAACTCCCAGCAATGCTAATGAGATCATCAAGGAGTATGATCACAACTTTCAGAAGTTTCTAGCTAAAAACATAGACAGAAACAAGATGGATTCAATGATCTATGGAGTTAGCAGAAATGGCAGAAAAGGGATAGGATATCAAGGTAAGGTACCTACACCAAAAAATGCCATGGACTTAGTTATAAAATGCACACCACTTAATTCACATTTTATATATGGGCACACACATGACATAAAATACACAAGTAGTGATTATTCTGTCAAACCAAAATTCAATCAGAATTTTGGTAAAACTAACAAATCAAGACCCAAGAAATGTGGGTACCTAAGGATAAAATCATACATGTGGCAGATGTCTTTAGCAGCAAGGCTAAGACACCAATCATTGTACCTGGACTCTGGCTTCTCACGACACATGACGGGGAGAAGGCATATGTTCCAAAGCCTGGAACTTAAACCTGGAGGCCACGTGGACTTTGGAGGAAATCAGAGAGGAAAGATCATTGGCTCTGGAACAGTAGGTAATGGAAATCTTCCCTCTATAAGTAATGTTTTATTAGTTGATGGATTAATGCATAACCTGTTATCCATAAGTCAATTAAGTGATAATGGTTATGATATAATCTTCAATCAAAATTCATGCAAAGCTATTAGTCAGAAAGATGGGACTACCCTATTTAATGGAAAGAGGAAAAACAACATTTACAAAATAAAACTTTCTGAACTAAAAAGTCAGAATGTAAAATGTCTACTGTCTGTTAACAACGAGCAATGGATCTGGCACAGAAGATTGGGACATGTTAGTATGAGAAGAATATCTCATATTAACAAACTCAATCTGGTCAGAGGACTTCCTAACTTGAAGTTCAATTCAGATGCTCTGTGTGAAGCATGTCAGAAAGGTAAGTTTGCAAAACCTGCTTTCAAATTCAAAAATGTTGTTTCCAACTCTAAGCCATTAGAACTTCTGCACATTGACTTATTTGGACCAGTAAAAACTGCTTCAGTCAGTGGCAAGAAGTATGGGTTAGTAATCGTAGATGACTATAGCAGATGGACATGGGTAAAGTTCTTAAGACACAAGGACGAGTCACACTCTGTGTTTGTTACCTTCTGCAACCAAGTTCAGAATGAAAAGGATCTTAGAATTGTCAAAGTCAGAAGTGATCATGGTGGAGAATTTGAAAATAAAGATTTTGAATTATTCTTTAATGAAAAAGGCATTCTGCATGATTTCTCTTGTCCTAGAACTTCCCAGCAAAATGGAGTTGTAGAACGAAAGAACAGAACATTGCAAGAAATGGCCAGAACCATGATCAACGAGACTAACGTTGCTAAGATCTTCTGGGCAGAGGCAATAAACACGGCGTGTTACATTCAGAATAGAATCTCCATAAGACCTATTCTGGAAAAGACCCCATATGAATTGTGGAAGAACAGAAAGCCCAACTTTTCTTATTTTCACCCATTTGGATGCACTTGTTTTATTCTGAATACAAAAAATTATTTGAACAAGTTTGACTCTAAAGCCCAAAAGTATATTATGTTAGGATACTCTGAACGCTCAAGAGGGTACAGAATATACAATACAGAAACACAAATTATTTAAGAGTCAATCAGTGTTAGGTTTGATGATAAGCTTGGCTCTCAAAAGTCAAAGCAGAATGAATTTCTTGCAGGTATGGAAGTTGAACTCACAGGTACTGAAGACAACTCATCAGAGGCTCTCAACAGAGACACTCCCTCAACAGCAGAAAGAGTCACTACAAGCAATCCAACACCTTCTATTGATCAACTCCAGAAAAGACTATTCAGAAGCAGCATTGATCACCCAGAAGATACAATATTGGGAAAGAAGGAAGATCCAATCAGAATAAGATCAACATTCAGAAACTCTGAAGAATCCCTCATGGGACTGGTTTCTCTGATTGAACCAATAACAATTGATGAAGCACTTATGGACAATGATTGGATTCTGGCAATGCAAGAGGAACTAAATCAATTCACCAGAAATGACGTATGGGATCTGGTTCCCAAACCAAAAGGGTTCAACGTCATTGGTATAAAATGGGTGTTCAGAAACAAACTGAACGAACAAGGTGAAGTCATCAGAAACAAAGCACGACTGGTAGCACAGGGTTATAGTCAGCAAGAGGGGATAGACTATACAAAAAGCTTTGCTCTAGTCGCCAGACTAGAATCTATCAGACTTTTAATTTCATTTGCTGTTAATAAAGGCATCACTCTGTATCAGATGGATGTCAAAAGTGCATTCTTAAATGGCTATATAGATGAAGAGGTATATGTGCACCAACCCCCTGGTTTTGAGAGTTCCAAAAATCCAGAATATGTTTTCAAACTAAAGAAGTCACTCTATGGTCTGAAACAAGCTCCCAGAGCTTCGTATAAAAGACTAAGTAACTTCCTGTTAGAAAAGGAATTCACCAGAGGGAAAGTGGACACAACCTTGTTCTGTAAGACAGTTAAGAATGACATGTTAGTATGTCAGATTTATGTTGATGACATCATATTTGGATCCACTAAACCCTCTCTGGGAAGAGAGTTTGCTAAATGTATGCAGGCAGAGTTTGAAATGAGCCTGATGGGGGAACTCAAATTCTTTCTGGGCATTCAGATAAATCAAACTCCAGAAGGAACTTACATTCATCAGAGCAAATACGTCAGAGAACTTTTGAAGAAATTTGATCTCTCAGAATGTAAGCCCTTAAGGATTCCAATGCATCCCACGTGCATTCTGGAAAAAGAAGAGGTAAGTAAAAAGGTAGAACAGAAGGTCTACAGAGGTATGATTGGTTCTCTTCTCTATCTGACGGCTTCAGGGCCTGACATTCTATTTAGTGTTTGCATTTGTGCTAGATTCCAATCAGATCCTAGAGAATCTCACTTAACAACAGTTAAGCGAATTTTCATGTATTTGAAAGGTACTGCTAATCTGGGTTTGTTTTATAGAAAATCAAGTGATTACAGCTTAGTAGGATACTGTGATGCTGACTTTGCTGGAGACAGAGTAGAACGTAAAAGAACTTCTGGAAGCTGCCAGTTTCTGGGAGAAAATCTGATCTCATGGTCCAGCAAAAGACAATCCACAATAGCACTATCAACAACAGAAGCTAAATACATAGCAGCAGCTGGATGTAGTACACAAATGCTCTGGATGAAAAGTCAACTTGAGGACTTCAATATATTTGAGAGTAACATCCCTATCCTATGTGACAATACTTCTGCTATTTGTCTCAGTAAAAATCCTATTTTGCATTCTAGGGCTAAGCATATAGAAATAAAACATCATTTTATTAGGGACTATATTCAGAAAGGGATTCTTAATTTAAAATTCATTGACACAGACCATCAATGGGCTGATGTCTTTACAAAACCTCTTTCTGAAGATAGGTTTAACTTCATTCTGAAACATCTCAGCGTGAAGCTTTGCCCAGAATAAATTGTTTTATTTACATATCTTAACCTTCAAAATTTTAGTTATTTTTCTGTGAACTACTGATCAACCTGCCTTCAGAATTTTAGAAGTACAGATTGTATCAGAATCTATCCATGAATATCTGAGTGTTTCATTTCAAGGATAGAAGTGTGTTGTTCACGTAAGCAAACAGTTGTCATCCATTCATTAGCTACCTTCTGAGGCTGAACACACGTTCACTTTTCTGAAAGGTCAAAAGCGCTGATTGGGTGCATTGAGACACACGTCATGGGTAACCGTTCCAATATCTTTTTGAATCCCCTAAAATCAACTGTCATTAATGCTTATAATCATGATTA